TAATTATTCCATATTATATATACAACAATTCTTACTCTAAGTCGAGAACAGTAAGTCGAAAAATAAGGACTATTAAGTACTTTTCTAATATTTCACCAAAAATAAGTACTAATAAGGGCCCTTATTTTATTTTTGGCAAAATAAGTACTTATAAGACTTTGGAAGACCCGCTACGAACCCTGTATCAGTTACTTACTGACTGAATAATGTTGGATAGACGGAATAAAAAGAGTTTTTTCCTTGCATTTTTGCGTTTTATTATTATTTATAATAATATGTTGCGTTTTATTTATTTCTCGGACGAAATAGGCTTAACTTAGTGTTTAAATTTTAAAGTGTTCGACAAAAACTATTATTCTTGATGCATTCGACAGAGTGGGGGTGGCTCGTTCGCTGTCCATTCTTAAGGCAGCCGAGAGAGACACGAGTGAATCCTACTTTTCGGCGACAATTACATCACGCTGCAGTGGCCACTTCACGTGTCTTTAGAAACGTTGATTTACAAAATTATAGAAGAACTTTTGAGTTAACAACATATATACGTTGTGACTTGCATTCCAAATTCAGAGGGTGACATCATAAATTCCCGAAAAAAGTCGAGAGACAAACCAGGGGAGTTACGATTACGACACCACAGAGAAGATGCGGCTAGCAGAGACAAGACGAGACGAGATGAGAGGCAGATTGACATAGGGTGCAACTAGGTTTCTGACATTCCAGCGCCACACTCAACGGCTTCAAGAGGAATCACACACAGGAACGATAAAATCCAATTTGTTAAATTGATTTACCAGCTATGTCCACTGTCTTGAAGCCACTCAATGACGGCTGAGATCGCGCGCCTGGGACCACGCACGGGGGGGAGGGGTGGGGGCGTGAAAGCAAACTAGTCTGCACTCTCCCCGCAGCCACTTAGACGGAGCAAAGAAACAAGCCACGTATTTACCAGCCAGCGGTTGCCGCATTCAAATGTGCACCGATCGATAATGATTGCGGCGGTTAGTACAACAATGGCGCCGCTAAGTACGGCCACGGGCGCAGTTTGCGCGGTAAACAGCAACCACAGTAAGTTTCACATACCACCCGACAGCGGGCGGGTCTTTCACACGGGCCCAGTTGACAACACATTAATGATTACGTAACGCAATTTCATCGCGGAAGGTGGCGTAACGTGCCGACATTTTCCTCTGTTAGCTGCCGTTTTCCCATTACTATTTACAAATTACGTTTTTTTAAACAATTTCAAATTGCCATTTTATCCATACAGGCAAGTGCAAAACAGTAGGCTACAAGACGTAGTTTCTCTCAGTTATACGGGTGTCAACCACACGTTGATGTCTAAGCAGGGGATTTGGTGGTTATTCGGATAAAACACGGACATGAAATGGACTCAAATTTGAGCCCGAGTAACGTAGATTATATGTGAAGGAAGACAATTCACATTTTCGTGGCTCTAGATGGTACCGTTCAGCCAAAATTTTGCAGACGCCTCATCATGAGCCGATAAGAAGCAAGTACTAGACATTCTGTAGTATCCAGGACAATACTAGCTGTGATAGACATATGTAGTATGCAGGACGATACTAGCTGTGATAGACATAATGTAGTATACATGTATGTATGTATGACTGGGAACCTTTAGATCGGTATTTCCCAGCAAAAAAATGCATGACAATACTAGCGCAGATGGGGTCGTTGTCGTATCAGGTACTACAGATATGTACCCGAGGTACATATATGTATACACAAGGTGTACCTGACCAATGTTGTTTCTACATAACCGTACCGCTGCGCTTCATAAATGTACCCAGGCGGGAAGTCTCGTTCAGTCACGTGGTATTGTCGTAAAAGCCGGAAAACGGTAGATAGACATATGTGGTATCCAGGACAATACTATAGCTGTGATAGATATCTGCAGTGATCATGGCTATATATACTAGCTGTTACACTCAACTATCAATCAAGACAAGATTATCTGTTGCATACATCCAGCAACTAAAATATGATTACCTGTAACACGCACACACCTATGTCAATCAGAACCACTCTGTAGAGAACTAGACGATACATTTATCCCGTAAATCGGATGAAACTAACCGTGGAATACATATCTAGTAATCAGATAAGACTAATGTGGTGCGCCTCCCCTAACAACGAGGATAGCACTTGCTGTTAAATACATCTAGTAAGCAGGACTAAATCTAGACTAATGTGATATTCCCCCAACCCCTACCAACCAGGGCAAGACTAGCTGTTAGATACGCCTAGAAATCAGGACACGACTTACTATGATATCTCCTTCTATCAATCAGAAGCCACACATCTAGTGCAGAATAAGACCAATAGACAAGACTCTCTTCTCCATCATCAAATATAACAGGACTATGTACGAAACATCCCCTATCAATCAGAACAAGACTATCCACGAGGTATCCTTGATCATTTGCGACAAGATTATCTTTGCGACACGGCGACAGGCATCGAGGTAATCAAGGCACGATTAGCCGTAGATAACAACTATTGCGGAACAAACAGTTCATATGTTGCACTTCCGTCCTCCCCGCTCCTATATGCTACTACCATGCTACTTACTACATCGCGTTATCACACCAAGTATTTCACAAACATTAGGCCAATGCGACTTTTCTATCTAAAGATTCGAATAGGTTTCCCGGACTCTTGTTCACCTTAAGCTGATTCCCGGGAAGGGAGCTAAATACTGTATGATAACAAAACTGAGAGCATAAAAACGCACATACATTTAGGGCTTGTATAATTAACACGGATTTTAATCAGACGTAACGTAACGGCGAAATTTACACGTAACACCATGAAAAACATCAAAAACAAATTGCATGAAATTGTGTCTTACCGGCCAGTGGAAGACGCGCGCTGGTGATAGAGTAAAGCTGTCAATGCACGTATCGTAGCAATAAATTATGCTATGCGTAAAAAAGTTTGTTTTTAAAGATCGAATGTAAGTCGATGCGAGTAATTACGCGATGGCAACTAAATCATTAAGACTGCAACGATGCAGCGATTTCGGATTACCTCATTAGACCAGCACTGCTATTTTTCGTGTAATCATTCTCGCGAACTTCCTGATGGTGTTGTGTCAATTCCCGTCTCATTATCGCGTGCGTTCGCCACTGGTTTCTTACGCTCGGCCGCCTTTATTTCTGCTCGTAATTAAGCTACCACCCCCGAGACTAAAGAAACTGAGCCTTGCTTACTCAGTCTACAGTTTAAGTGACGCGCTGCAGAGTATGTAAGCAATGTGAGGATAGTGATGCGGCGTGGAAGTCGACACAGATGATACAGATGAGACAGTAGATCCCTGGCAATGCCTTGGGGAGCGTCGATCACTCATGCAAGCCGAGATGCGACGAGAAGAAGAGTTGATAGAGGAGGTGGAGATGTGATGGGGGTTGGCAGAGATGTGATGGTGAGGCAGGGATGTGAGGAGGAGGCAGAGATGTGATGGAGACAGAGATGTGATGGGGTGGAGAGATGTGATGAGGCACATATGTTATGGGGGAGACAGAGATGTGTTGGGGAAGCGTAGATGTTATGGGGGAGACAGAGAGGTGTTGGGGAAGCGTAGATGTTATGGGGGAGACAGAGATGTATTGGGGAAGCGTAGATGTGATGGGAGCAGAGATGTGATGGGGGAGTCAGGGATGTGAGGGGGGCAGAGATGTGATTGGGGCAGAGGTGTGATGGGAAGGAAGCAGGGATGAGATGGGAAAGCAGGGATGTGAGGGAGAGGCAGATATGTAATGATGCTGCAGCAGCAACATGCGACAATAAGATGTAATATGGCTTCAGCGAGGCAATGCAAGCGTGAAAGAATAGTAACTCGATCGTTACTGCCGCAGGCTAACTATACCTTTCACAAATATGTTGGGAATATCATTTCAGCAGCGCAGCACTCGAAAGCACTTTTTTGTCGGTTTCCCTGTAGGGTGCTAACTGGCTACACTGACTTTTATCGTTAAAGGTACACAGTTATAACTATGTAATCATTCGCTAGCACAGCTAGACAGGGCAGTGTGTTAGGAGACTGCGCACGGGTGATGGGTCATTTTGGATCGTGATGTGGAGCCGCGTTGGGAGATAATATCGATGGCAATTAGTTCAGGTCTTCGCTTTTTTCATGTACGTATTTTTCATTTTCCTCTGGGCAGTATAACTAGATATACTATCTGACACATCTGCCGTGCACACATCGCGGTTCCACAGTCAGTCAGGTGACATTTACGCTTCGACGAGTTTTTGTTAAAACCGCTACTAATACAGCAATCATTTCTATGTACAGTTGGGGAAGCGCTGATATGAAAATGTCAACATGTTTCAGATATTGGTTATTTTTAGAGTAAGACGTAATCCGAAGCCACACAGCTATTGAGATTCGCATGACACATCGTCAGAGCGGACATCTGACGACGACCTCAGTGCTATTATAATATGGTTTTCATGTAATCACGGCGTAATCCAACCAGTGCGCTGATACTCAACATAATACCTGCCTTTGAGGCATGGACAGAAAAGATGGCATCAAAGGCAGACGAGATTGAGATACCTTTAATCGATATTATCATCTGATTCCGTTTTCTCCTCACTCACACTCTCCCACGCTTCTCCTATACCCTCTGTACTCCCTCCTTTACGTTCCTTTCTCCACGTAACCATCTTACTCCCTCCCTTTCTCCCTTCGTTCTTCCTTCCCTACATTTATATATTCGGCCTAAGCCTTTATTCCACTTCCTCCTTAACATGCCAAGCGCATCCAATAAGCACATACCGGGAGCATAGGTATCTCATTTCCAGGGGGGGGGGCAGCGTGCGGTTAGTGTTCTTGGCAGGTGAGTGTGGACAGTTCATCAGTGGACATGTAATCGTACCTATATTGGTCTGGGGAGGCTGCGCTCACCCCTCCCCCGCGCTATCTCCGGCCCAGCTTACAGCAGAGATATTAATAATGGATCTCATCTACTCACCTTAAAATTAGAAACGACTAAGGTTGAAAGCCCATCCACGTACGGTCCTAATATATTGTGCTCCCGAACCCGCAGGTTTGATTTTGCACTGAAATGTAAAATAACACGATACAGTGTTTCTAGCATAGATACATAAAAATATACCATTATACTATATATTACGGTGAAGAATATAAACATCAAATTTAAAAAATATGAACTTTAAACTTCCTGAGTTCAGTTAATCACAATGAATTTACTGCGTATAGAGTCGCGTGAAAAGGCAAGCACAACATAAATGAAAGATTGGTGACAAATGCGAAGATATTGTTATGTATGGCACTCCACATCACGGGAAGACAAGGAACAACGTAGCTAGAACACATCTACTACACTGCAGCCTAACCGCGACTGCAAGCACTGTCAAACTGTACGTACACATGGGGTGGACACGTGAATAATCACACCGCGAATAAATTTATTAATTATATTAAATTAATCCAATAATTTAAAATTAATAATTTAATTTAATTTCATTAATTTTTGAATTTAATTTAACATAATTAATAATTTAATAATATTAGTTTTAATCATAATTGTTAGTGACTCAACCCACTTACGCACTCATTACGCTACAGATTTAGCGAAATTTTCATGCAACATGACTTATAAAGTCAGACATGTAACAAGTTACCTGCATACTAAATTATACGTATAATAAGTTGCAGTTCCACATTCACCTTTGCGGTGAAACTACAAATAGCTGAGTGGACTGGGAAAGAGGAAATGATACATTTGCCATGTTGCAAAGATGATCTTACTGTCAGTAAATATGCTCGAGAAAAAGAGTAATACTTGAAAACATTAGCGAAATCGATTCAACCCTCTAAAGAGATCACGAGGATGATTTCACGAGAGAAAACACGGCATGCGAGATTGCGCCTTGCGTGCGCGTGATAAGTAGGCTCTATCTAATAGAAGACAAACAGCCACCGATGCCCATCAATCATTAACTGCTATGCGCCCACGAACATGACTACCACAGTTACACTGTATCTTAAATCTCAACACACAGAGAAGAGGCTAGTTTCTATGAAAAGGTAGAGAGATAAGTGGTACAATGGCAGAAAGAGCGCAGAAAGAGTTGGGCTAAAGGCTAGGAAGAGAGAAAGCAAGAACATGAGAAGAAAAAATGATTGAACAATTGGGAGTATGCATATTCATGTGCAAAGAGAAAATAAAAAGGTTCATAGGAGCGGTCGTGAGCCATAGGAATATGCTTCCTGTTCATTTAATTACTGAAAAATATTTCATCTTCAATTGTCATAGTCAACCCACAAAATGTCACAAATGTTGCCACATGTATAATCATGTTTACCAAATAAAACCATGGGAAACATTTCACATCCTAAATCCTATCCGTTCATCCCATCCATCCATCCTATCCGTTAAACCTGTCACAGGGAGGTGAATGAAATTGTTTAGATGTATATACACTGTACGACCAGCTGAAATGGAAAAAGGGCAGCTCTAAGGACAGCTTATTCGAATGATTGTTAAACAAGCCAGAGTATTTACACTTGTGTCGCTTTTTGATATGTTGTTACGTACCTTGATGTGCGAGCGGTATTAAATTTCTAGGTACTTGTTATTTAAACGAATTTGATAGTAGTTAGAGTGAGAGTTAGGAGATATGACCAGATATGATTTCTACCGTATATATCGCTGTGCGAGAAGACGTAACAATCCAGACACGTAGCCACGACGTGAACAAATTCCACCTCCATACTCGACAATACTGCGACATTCCCTGCAGCCCAGGCGCATCAACAACCGCAGCGCCAGGAGACACCAGTTAGAAGCATCGACCAGACAACCTACCAATCAACAACAGTGGAAGCATGCACGGATTGATTTGGTTGTAAGAGTGGTGGGGAAGCCACGGCCACGGCCGCCTGGCAACGCGCAGCCGAAGTTGCTGCAGCGCATCGATTGCAGCTGGTTAATCAGCACCTGCATTAGTATATGCGACTTCGACAGGCACGCCTGCAGTTTCACGTCGACTCTACTTTGTTTCGCGAAAAAAACTCGTTTGTATTAGTTTCCACATATTTCAATTACGAATCGCACTGCGAGGCCGAAACAGCGGTCACCATAGAAACAATCAATGGCGGATAGTCTTCGGCAAAACGCGGATGAGAGGCGTTTAGAATTATGCAGATGCGCGCGAGAGTGGATGTTAGTTATGCGAGCAGAAGATGGGTTTCCTCAGCCTCAGCAAAAGCTAGGAATTTCGGTTATCAGCTGCGTGATGAAATAAAGCATTAAAAACTGCCGTGCAGTTGATCGCAGAAACGGCTAGTATACGCAGTCGCCTCACTCTTTCCGTCCGTCTAGCCAGCGTGAAATCTAGCCTCTACGGAACTCCTTGACCCCTACCTGCAGAAAGCGTCTCTTCTAAGCAAAACCGCGGGCTCTAGTTTACATTAGACGAAACCACCAACTCCTAATGTGCCAGATTTCACCAGGACCGAGGTCAAGACGTGATGACCGAGTGGACACCGCATCCTAGACGCGGACAGAGTTAAACTAAACTACAGCTACACCATGTAAGAGCCTCTCCCCACACACGCACACACACACAACACACACACACACACACGCACACACGCACACGCGCACGCACACACGCACGCACGCACGCAAGCACGCGCGCGCATCTTACCTTTTGATAAGACCCGGTTACGTTATAGTTTCATACTATAAAGGAGCCTCCATGACTTGCTAGTGGACTGAGTCAGGCTACACACCACAGCTATACTATACTAATATAAAATACTATACTAATATAAGGGAGACATCGACCACGTCTTGCCATCTGAGAGCCAGCTAGGCTACCTCTACACATACACCTTATAACTTCAACACGTTGCCAGCTGATACAACCAGGCTAACCTACACCTACACCAAACAAGGACGAGTTTCCAGGTCTTGCCAGAGGTCAGGGCCAGGCTACATCTACACCTACATCCTATAAGGCAAACGTCACACGTCTTACCAGCTGACATAGCCAGGCTACATCTACACATACGCCCTATAAGGCAAACTTCACGTGTTGCCAGCTGGCACAACCAGGCTACATCTAGAAAGTGATAACCACCTCTCTCCATCTCCCTCCATCGGCCTTCACCTGGCATCGCCGTAGTCTGCATGCACCTCCGGTATAAATTCGGACTAGCCAGTTACATTGACGATCAGATGACAGCCACGGCCACGGCGTGGGCTTCAGACCCTCCACCGCAGCTGCTGCTGCTGTTGCAGTCAGTAACTCCATGCCTGCGCTCGTCTCCGCACGTCAACCGCCGACGTCAGAAAGCATTTGCCGATCTCGGCGTCCGCTGGGGGCTGCGAAATGTCGCGCGCGCTTCTCTCTGCCGCAACAAGGAGGAGCCGGAGAAGGCCAGCAGGGAAGCGAAGCGAGCCTACCACGCGCCTCTCTCTGCCGCAACAAGGAGGAGCCGGAGAAGGCCAGCAGGGAAGCGCAGCAAACCGAAATCGAGTTGGCGGTGGCCAGCCAGAAGCCCAATGTCGGCGCGGGTTTTCGCAGGAAAATTCGGCGCATGTGAAACCGCGACAGATGGAGAATAAAAACAGCGTGCCATCGATTTTTCCAGATTTCCATTTCCTGCCGACTTATTTATTGTGCCTCTGTATTGCTTGAATAACAATTGTAAAAAAAAAACTACGCTGCCTCACACACCAGAGGCTTTGGCAGTCCTCACGCTGTAAAACGTATGTATCGCGACATAATACGACGACGATATATACCCACACGTGCGCTGCTGCCTGAACAACGAACACATTGCGAAAGCTCGTTGAAAAAAAAATAACGAAATTAATTGGATCAGTCTCAACGATAGAATGACTGCGGCCGCCGTCATACATGTGCAATTACATGGGGCACACGCGTGAGAGACGGGGACACGGGGACAAATGCATGCGCCGCAGAGGTTTTTGCCCGACGTGCGTCACTTAGTGACACGCGTAACTCTTTGAAGCCCGTGTGCGCGTGTGTGCGTGCGTGCGTGCGTGCCCGCGTGCGCGTGTGTGCGTTGCGTGCGTGCGTGCGTGCGGGCGGGCGTGTGCGGGTGCGTGTGCATGCAGCACGAAGATATGTGTGTATGTATATACGTATGTGTGTGCGTGCTCGCGCGTGTGTGCGTGCGTGCGTGCGTGCGTACGTGCGTGCGTGCGTGAGTGTGCGTGTGCATGTGTGTCTGTGTGTTTGCGTGCGTGCGTGCGTGCGTGCGTGAGTGCGTGAGTGCGTGCGTGCCCAACTGACGCACGCCCACGCGCACTTCGCTCTCCCGGCTTCTTCAGTCCGCACGCTCGCTGCATCTTTCCCGAGTTTTCGTCGTAGCATTACTCAATGCAGTGACACTGAAACATGCTGAAAGGCACCCGCGAGAGTCACCGTTTCACTCACTATGTCTGTGCTCGCCTCTCTGAGGGGCAGAAAGCACAGATGAGGCAATGTTGGTAAGAGGGACGTTGAAGCAAACGATGAAGCAGCCTTGGAACAGACGCGAGTGGGGAGACGGCAGCTTGATGCAGATTATAAATTAAAGTGTCAATGACACTGTAGCTCACCACAAAAAAGCACACAAATGAGTGAGTGAGAAGAAGTCAGTTTTAATTGAGCAACCATCGACGTACATTATATAGAAACGAAGAGTATATATGGGAGAACTTCCATTATATACTCTTGATAATTATATGTGTAATTTTTTATGTGAAAATAATAACATCAATTTTTTATATTATAGAATTTATAAAAATAAAATTTTATTAGTGTAAACAAAAATATTGAAAATCACAATTTGTGACGCAGTGACTACATAGATGGCGCTTATACCCGCTTTAGTTATGTTTAGCTTCAGCATAAAATCATGATATCATAATAATATAATTTAAGTACATCGAATAATAGTATAATCATTATTATGTTCATAGCAGGAATTTTGCATTAAAGATATTTTCAATGAATCTTGTTTAAAACGAACCAGACGAGTGTGACACCACAGACTGTTACAGTTTCTGTTATCTGCGCTCAAGCCGGTTTCCGGTTGTCTATACTAATATGCCTATATAATTGACCAAACCCTACCTATTTTTATGTCATTTAATTTTTTAGGAATTATTCCAAAACCTCTTATCATAGTCTGCCTTTTTTTTCAATTCACATACCAAAATGACAGCAAAATCCGTGTTGAACCTGTTTTTCTGACAGTACATGCAATTCCCATGTTTTTTGCCAAAATATTGCCTGTGGCTACGTAACATACGCCTCTGACTGGCGTGCCCTCCAAAATAGGAGTTTACTTATTGGCCGGCATGAGCGTAACAACTATACCCAATTTCAAACATGGTTGGCGTCTAAGGATTCCTGAGTATTTCGTTGACGGTAGCCAAAAAAAATGTTGACGAACGGTCACGGACGGACGGAACAGACGGGACGTACGACGAACGACGACCCATGGCCAAATAGTTTCAGCTTGACGATGTCAAGGTGGTGAGCTAAAAAATAGCAGGGGATAAAACTATTTAGGCAAAGAACTTGTTCAAAATTGGTATGGAAGAGAGCGCGAGAGGAGAAACAGAGAGGCGATACCGCGAAGGTGCATGCAAGAGAAAAAGAAAAGGGAAGACAGACTAGACAGACAAGACGAGACATAGAGGCAGAAAGACAGAAAGATCAAAGAAAATAGTGAAGATTGAAAAAAGCAAGGAAATTTGTATACGCCGTTCTTGTTTTGCAACGGTCCGTCAATCTCCTTATAATTAAACAATTGTAAACTTTATTTTCCTTTCGCCCACTACGCCATTCTTTTAGCACACCACAGTGGCCTCATATACGATATGATACTAGCATTCATGCACAAGAGCTGTACCTACCTATTGGGATCTAAAAGGTCCCTGACTTTTCATTACTAAATCTCCATGTATTACACGTTGTACTACATTTGAATAGACGAACGTGGGTATATAGGACGACTCAATCCCTTCGCTGTTAGCAGACAATTACTTTCACAAAGAGGCTGTCGCATAATCCTTTGGATGATGCCCTTGTTGTCTGCATTCTCCCATCATCGATATGACTTGCCAGGCTCCTGAGCAAGAGAAAAATACATTCCAACCAACGTTTACACTTATGGGAGGGCGTCTTGTCAAGACATCCGCCCGATGTGGTTCGCCGTATCCGATAATATGCACGAGTGTATATATCAGTGAGCCGCGCTTACGACACAGCACAACTACCTTGATACACTTAGCGTCACCTGCTCGCTACTACGTCTCGTCTGGGTCTACTTATGTAGCAGCTAGGGAGTGGAAGTGCGGGAGAGGATGGGGGGGCGAGGGGCGGTTAGTGGCACTGACACGACGTCACGGCACCTGGCGCACTTGGCGAATGGAGAAAAGTGTCAAATGACCACCTGCTTAGCTCACCACAAAAAGAACACAAATGGACTTCGTGGGGAGAAGAAGTCAAGCTTTTAGGTGCGCAACATCGAGGCGTACGATGGTATAGAAACTGAAGATGTTATCCATTATGGAGAACATCCCTTATTATCTTTACTCTTTTTTATTATGGCTGTAATGTTTTATGTGAACTAATAAAATAATATATTATATTATGAATTATTATAAGTGAATTTATAAACAATTAATGAACCCAATTTTCGTGACGGTAGCGATGCGTATACGCCGCTTTGATGTTTCTTAGCATAAATCATTAGTATCGTAATAATAATTACTATATAATAATTGATTAATAGTATAAATCGATAATATTTTCATAGACAGGAATTTTTGCATTAAAGATATTGTCAATGAAATCTTGTAAAACAAACCAGACGAGTGTGACGTACAGACTGTTTGTTATCTGCGTGTCTATATAATATGCTATATAATTGCCAAACCCTACCTAATTTGCAAAACCCCTAGCCCTTATTCATTCACATACCAAAAATGAGCAAAATCCGTTGAACCTGAACTGACTAATGGCAATTCCCATTTTTGGCAAAAAATTGCCGTGGCTCGAAAGTACATCGACTGGCGTGCTCCAAAATAGGACGTTTAATATGGGAGCATAGCAGTAACAACTATACCCAATTTCAAACATGTGGGTCAAACGGTTCCTGAGTTATCATTGACCGTAGCCAAATGTTGACGGACGAACGGATGGACGGACGTACGACGGACGACGACCCATGGCAATAGCTCAGCTTAATTGACGATGTCAAGGTGAGCTAAAAATTTGCAATTTTGGCCAGTGCGTTGTCTTTCGCTGGGTGTGCGTCAGCATTCGTTACTCGTTCGTCGAGTGCGCTGGACCAGTGCTATGCATTAGTTGTCATTCGCTGTGTGCGTCGGGATTTTTGTACATGCCCAAAAATGTGCGTGGAGCTCGACGCATGAATGTACACGCCAGAAGGACGCCAGACACGCGCAGAGAGCACTGGACCAATGCCAGACACACGCGGGACACACGCTGGGTATTCGTTGTATGTTCGTCGGCTGAGGTGTAGCGAACACGTAGCGCACACCTAGCGTGCTTCTAACGCACGTCCAGCGAACATGCAGCGAATATGGGCGTGCTGAACGAGTGCTGAACGAGTCTGTAGCGCGCCCAGCGTTCTTCTAGCGTATTCCTAGCGTGTATGCAGCGTGTAGCCATGTGGTATATAAACGGGTCCCGCCCCTACTCCTCATCATCACTTCTCCTTTGACCCTCATGGGTGATGACAGAGGTTCCTGCTGATCGTGTCTAGAAGAACCACCTCAGAAGATGGAGGATCCCGACAGGCTGCGACTACAATACGAAATCGCGGTTCTCCAACATCAGCAGAACCTCATGGAACTGGCACTTCACCAAGTCCATGTCATCAGGAGAAGAAGAAAGAGAAGAGGTCAACGGAGGTTCTGGGTCCGACCGTGGATCAGTAGGCGATGACAGTTTGGCCTGTATGACCAGCTACTTGTTGAACTCTGTAACGAAGACCAGGCAGCCTTCAAGAACTTCATGCGGATGCCCCCCAAGATGTTCGACGAGCTGCTAACCAGAAGGGGTCCGAGTATCACCAAGCAGAATACAACCTACAGAGAGGCCCTCGACCCTGGCCTGAAGCTTGCCCTCACTCTGCGGTATCTTGCCTCTGGGACCAAGTATCACTCAATGTCCTATGGGTGGAGGGTGCCTCACAACACCATATCCCTGCTCATCCCAGAAGTGTGCCACGCCATCATCGATGAATACAAGGATGAGGTGATGAAGTGTCCCACCACTCCTGACGAATGGCGTGCCACATCTGACAAGTTCATAGAGAGGTGGAACTTCCCCCATACCTGTGGTGCACTTTATGGCAAGCACGTCAACTGCAAGTGTCCTCCAAGCAGTGGTTCCCTATACTACAACTACAAAGGGTTCTACTCCGTTGTCCTCATGGCGCTTGTGGATGCTGATTACAAGTTCATCTGGGCAGACATCGGCGGTATGGGATCAGCATCAAACGTTCAGATCTACAATGCCTCTGAGCTGAATGAATGCGTTGAAGATGGTAGTCTAGGCTTCCCTACTTCTTCGTCGGCAATGATGCCTTCGCCCTACGACCCAACATAATGAAGCCATACAGCCTCCTGGGTATGACGCGGCCAGAGCGCATCTTGAACTACCGGCTTTCCCGAGCCAGGACGATCGTAGAAAATGCCTTCGGAATTCTGGCCAATCGTTTCCAAGTTCTCCTGAGCACGATGCATCAGCAGCCCGAGACCGTCAAGCTCATTGTCACAGCATGCATAACCGCTGCCGTTCGCTGGCTGTGCGTTGAATGCACGGTGCATGCGCGGACCATTCGTTCCGTGCGCTAGCAACACGCTGTGCATTCGTTGGATTTTTTAACATGTGCGCCCTGTATACGCGCAGCGCGCTAGCAACACGCTGTGCATTCGTTGGATTTTTTAACATGTGCGCCCTGTATACGCTCTGTATGCACTGATTGCACTCTGTATGCGCCCTGTATACGCGCAGCGCGCTAGCTTAAACAAAAATGAATCACAATTTGTGACGGTAGATGGCGCTATACCCGCTTTGATGTTTCTTAGCATAAATCATTATATCATAATAATAATAATATAATAATAATAGTATAAATCATAATATGTTCATAGCAGGAATTTTGCATTAAAGATATTTTCAATGAAATCTTGTAAAACGAACCAGACGAGTGTGACACCACAGACTGTTTGTTATCTGCGTGTCTATATAATATGCTATATAATTGCCAAACCCTACCTAATTTGCATAATTTTTTTAAATATCAAAACCTCTAGCCCTTATTCATTCACATACCAAAAATGAGCAAAATCCGTTGAACCTGTTCTGACTAATGGCAATTCCCATTTTTGCCAAAAAATTGCCGTGGCTCGAAAGTACGTCGACTGGCGTGCTCCAAAATAGGACGTTTAATATGGGAGCATAGCAGTAACAACTATACCCAATTTCAAACATGTGGGTCTAACGGTTCCTGAGTTATCGTTGACGGTAGCCAAATGTTGACGAACGGACGGACGGACGGACAGACGGACGTACGACGAACGACGACCCATGGCAATAGCTCAGCTTGACGATGTCAAGGTGAGCTAAAAAACAGGGGATAAACTATTTAGGAAAGAACTGTCAAATTGGTATGGAAGAGAGCGAGAGCAGAAAGCAGAGAGAGCGAGCGAAGTGCATGCAAGAGAAAAAAAGAAAAAAGGAAGACAGACAGACAGACAGACAGACAGAGGCAGAAAGACAGAAAGACAAAGAAATAGTGAAGATTGAAAAAAGCAAGCAAATTGTATACGCGTTCGTTTGCAAGGTCCCGTCAATCTACCTTATTAATTAAAAAGTAAACATTATTTCCTTTCGCCCACTACCCATTCTTTTACACACCACAGTGGCTCATATACGATATGATACTAGCATTCATCACAATAGCTGTACCTACCTATTGGGATCTAAAAGGTCCCTGACTTTTTCATTATAAATCTCCATGTATGACACTTCTACATTGTAACGAAGGTTGGGATCATCCTTGTTAGCAGCAATACTTTCAAAGAGGCTGTCGCATATCCTTGGAATGATGCCCTTGTTGTCTGCATTTCCCATCATCGAATATGACTTGCCAGAGCCTGAGCAAGAGAAAAAATAATCAACCAACGTATCACTAATGGGAGGGCAGTTGTCAAACATCCGAGTGGTCGCGTAATATGCACGAGTTATATACAGCCGAGTAGACACAGCACAACTACCTTATACACTTAGCGCACCTTGTATACGTCTCGTCTACTTATGTAGCAGCTAGGGAGTGGAAGTCGGGAGAGGGATGGGGGGGAGGGGGGTTAGTCACACATACACGACGCACGGCCCGCGCACTGAATAAAAGTGTAAAGGACACTGTAGCTCACCACAAAAAAGAACACAAATGAGTGAGTGAGAAGAAGTCAGTTTTAATTGAGCAACCATCGACGTACATTATAGAAACGAAGAGTATATATGGGAGAACTCCTATTATATACTCTTGATAATTATATGTAATTTTTTATGTGAAAATAATAAATAATATTATATATGAATTATAAATAATTTATAAACAAAAATGAACCACAATTTGTGACGGTAGATGGCGCTATACCCGCTTTGATGTTTCTTAGCATAAATCATTATATCGTAATAATAATAATATAATAATAATTATTAATAGTATAAATCATAATATTTTCATAGCAGGAATTTTGCATTAAAGATATTGTCAATGAAATCTTGTAAAACAAACCAGACGAGTGTGACGTACAGACTGTTTGTTATCTGCGTGTCTATATAATATGCTATATAATTGCCAAACCCTACCTAATTTGCAAAACCCCTAGCCCTTATTCATTCACATACCAAAAATGAGCAAAATCCGTTGAACCTGAACTGA